ACATCGATCACATGATCACTGACCCTCGGCGGCTCAACCTTGACTTCGGAAGTAGTGGCCGCTGGGGCTGGTGCAAAATACTCCAACCTCGGGGCATCTGGCCTGAAGGTACCACTTGACACCTGCTCCAACATACTGGCCAATTTGATTGCTGCAGGGGTGACCAAGTCTCTGCTGTAGAGGGGGCCAGCACCATGCACTGCACTTGCATGCCGACCAAGAATGTCCCTCTCCTCTCTGCCGACACCAAACTTTGCAGCCCAGCTCAACAGAGTCACACGCAATGAATGACTGGTCACTCGCTGCCCTGGCTTCAAGAGAGGCTTGAGAAACATCCGAAGCATAGCCGTAACCTCAGACGATCGAACCTCTCTCGCGCCGAAGATCATGTCTTGCACATTGAGGACAGCCTTGAAGAGAGGGCCACCCCGGACCATGCTGATGTTTTGCCCCACAGCCTCGAAAGCTTTACAAGCCCTATAGAGCCACGGCCGACCCACCACAGAGGTCGCAGGCACTAGCACAGGCAGCAACTGATTCTTCAATGCAAGGGACTTGGCCGACTTGTGACCCCGCAAGTTGAACTCAAGGAACCCTCGGGCCCCTTCAAAATTCAATGAGCAAGAGAAGACCGAGCAAAGGTCAGAATGTCTAGCCCTCGCATACAATGCCACCAAAAGGTAAGCGATGCAATACCGATCAAGAGGATCCGTACTGTCGGCTTCCAGAAGATGATGCAGGTGCCTCACCTGCTCAACCGTGAGCTCCGAGGCCTGAACCACAGGGTTTCCATTGCAACCCAGGACCTCGGCCAAACCCACGAGCCGGCGGCTGGCGATCACCGAGTGAACCTGAACCCCAACGACATGGTGAAGGAACCTCAAGGCGCTGAGCATGCTGCCACATTTTGTTTTTGCTGCACCCTCGTTCTTAAGCTGCTGCAAGAAACGCCACACCGACTCCTCCGACAGAAAATCGCGAGAGTCCTTGCAAGCTTGGGCCCACCTCATGTAAGCAAGCAGGCTGTTGGCCCGCTTCTCCACCGTGAAGCAACTCTTTAACCCCATGCACGCTTCCAAGGAATCACACAACTGCTCCTCAGTGTCACCGTACAAGAAAGGTGGCATGCTCAAGTGGCTGCTTGCAAAGGAAATGAAATCTGAAGTTTCCTAACACTCTTCTGCAACGTTGCGCGGCGACGATGCTCATAAGAAATGTCCGCCTTGCACAAGATGCACTTCGCTGAAACCGACATGCTTATGCGAAGGTCAGCACGACTGCCGACGTCACCTGCTGCACGCTCACCGGCTGGGGCTGCAGCAAGCACGGGAGGCAGTGAAGGCATCGTTGGAAGCTTCGGCACATTTCCTAGAAACAACTTTTTCATAAAACCCTTTTCCCAAGGAAAATGCAACCCCTTCGAGGTATCTTGAACCCTAGGCCAATCAAGAGCGAAGGCATCGGCTACTGCACCTGCTTCGGCAACCTGGTTCACGGTCAGAGGGCTTGAAGCACCCAGAGATGCCTCTGAAGGGGCATGGTCGCCCACTGCTGCACGATAATATTCTGCTTCTGCCTCGGACCCTTCTGCGACACTGCTGGCGGCGAAACTGGGCTCATAGTCTAACCAGCTCACATCACTAGGGGGGCCCGAGGCACTGGCGAAGGCTGCGAAGGAGGGCTTATCACTAGGAGGCACTATCAGATCCCAAGACTTGAAGCTAGATTCCTTAGAACCCGAAAGATCGGCACTCTGAGATAAGCCATCCGATGCTGAAGCCTGCTCAGGCCTGTCAGATTGCTCGGGACTCAGCATCGATGGTGGGGCAGGCGGAAACTCATGCTCTGGCTCTAGCTCGACGACAGGACCCTTTTTCGAAGACCCAGGTTCTAGGAAACCCAACTCTGAAGGCCCAGGCTCCCCCCCCCCATTATCCGAAGAAACCACCCCTGACAACGGCACGGCCAGGGGCTGCACCGGCAGGTCCAAGGGATACGGCTCGGCCCCAGAGCCTGTAGCCCGCAGGCGAAGCTCACGCATCTCGACGCGAAAAGCAGCCATGTCGACTCTCAAGCGAACAAGCGACGGCGCAAGCGATGCCTGAGGACAAACACAGAGTCTGCAATGTAAATGAAGATCCTATGAAACCCTCGAGAGAGGCAGCGCAACGCACTGAACTCTGCAGGGCGAAATGCAAGGAGCAGCACAGCACCAGGGGCTGCAGCACCCAGAATTGCTTCAAGAAGTGTGATCCTAGCCTCTCTAAGGATTGTGCTGCGCCAGCCCCGAACGTGAACTTGGTCCTGAAGGAAAAGCACCGCCAAGCGATGCAAGGGTGCAGGAGCTGCACGACGATCCATGAAGGCGCGAGGGCCCCCCTGACTACACTTCACTTCAAAGTTTTTCTGCAAAAGAAGTGAATGCAACTTCAAAGTTTTTCTGCAAGGTAGT